CCTGGGGGATCCTCACCCCCTCACCCTGGGGACTCTGGGGCACGAGGTCTCCCGAGTCCGAAGGCACCAAGAGCATTCCCAGACCCGAGGACCAGGCAGGACTGGCCCAGGAGCTTCCCCAGCCTGCGCTACGCAGACACCCCGCTGCCCTGGGTTTCTACGCCTCGCCGTCCTCCCTCCGCCTTCCCAGCCCGCCCTTACCAGCCTTATCCTCCAAGGCTTTGTTGAACCACTGCAACGCCGCCTTCTTCTCCGCGTCCAGGTCCTCCGACGTGATGGAATAGCCCAGCTGAGGCGGCGGGGGCTGCCAAGAGAGAGCAGCAGCTTAGCTCCTCAGGGAAGCCGGCAGAGCCTCTCTGAACGGGTGGGTGAAGGCTGGCCGTCGCAAGACCCGTGAAGCAGGTGGTTCTGCCGCAGCACGCCACCGCGGAGCGCCGATCCCCCGTTCCTTTTGGGCCCCCGGCTTGGCGCTGAGGGCACGGCAGGCCTTCCCCAGGCCATTACCTGGTCCGGCAGCAGGCAGCACAATCACGCACAGCCCACCAGACACTGGGGCTGGGGAGAGCGTCACTTCCCACTCGGCCAAGGACGGGGCCTCCTTCCTGAGGGCAGGCAGGTCAGTCTCCCCCCAGCCCTGCAGAAATTGCAGTGAGCACATTCTATCGCCAGAGCGAGGGCCAAAGGGGCTGCGAGACAGCGACGTACCAGCGCCAGCTGGTCCCCCGGGCGAGACGACAGCAACTGGATCTTCCGCTTGCGCTTCCCGCTGCTCCCCGGCGCGGACGGCGGGCTCAGGGAATTCTGCTTCTTCCGCACCGGCGTCTCCGCTGCTACAGAAGGAGACAAGTCAGGGCCAGCTCTGGGCAGAGGAGGCGTTTGGCTTGTACCCATGGGGTCGTCCCTCCTGACTCCTCTTTGGATGAGCCACCTCGAGAGGGGCAGAGCCAAGGGCGCAGCTTTAAGCCGCCGACAAGGCTGCGATGCCCTGGAAGAGCAGCTGGCTGCAACACGTCCCCCAGGGCAGGCTCTTACAGGGCTTTGCAGGGCAGCAGCCCCTTCCCACCTCCGCAGGTGGTCCTTGCCCACTGCCCACCCGAACCACAAACCACCCAAACCACATCTAGCTCGGTGCCACGGGACCCTCTCTGCGATAAGCACCAAGGATTTCCTCTCCATTTCAGCTGAGGAAGCGCTGGAGTAAGTTCAGCCCGGGATTTGATCAGGGTGCTAGTTGTATCACAGCAGGTCTTGCCCCAGGGCTGACACCTGGACCCCTGCTGGCTTGGGGGCTGGTGTTCCCCCTTGCAATCCAGCTCCCAGGCATCTGCTGGCACACCAAGACTGCCAGCATCCCTCGCTTATCACCTAGAAATCCCTTCAGGGCAGTTGCTGAAGCCAGCAGAAGCGCCATTGCCTTGGGATCAGCACGTTCCTACTTTCCAGGTGACCTCTCAAGCCAATCCCACCTGCAGACCTCAGCTACCTCCTGTCCCGCTGCTTCCTGGCACCGGTGGCCCATCCAACCCGGGCACAGAGCTGGGGCCCACCTACGCTCACCTTTCTCTGTCTGCAGCTCCTTGTCCGATTTCACTGGGGTGGAAGCGTTGGAGCGATGCGACTCCTCTTCCCTGCGCAGGCGGGAGAAAGCCAAGTTAAGGTCAACCCCAGGCTTGGCCCCGTCCCCAGGGAGCAGGATGAGACCGAACACGTTAAGGACTCCCACCAGCATCCCTGGTGTGCTTCTTTCTCCGCCAAACAAAGACACCGCAGGAAAACGGCCTTGCCCTCACCGCTCTAGCCTGAGAGCAGCCCCAGGCAGAGGAGCTGCTCCCCTCCCTCCCCAGGACTCCAGCTCGGTCAGGTCGCCCAGCCCGTGCACCCTCCACAGGACAAGTCAGCTTCGGGGCAGCAGCTGGGGGTCCTGGACAGGAGCTGCTGCTCCTCCCAGTCGGTGGCTTGGACCCACCCTCTCACCAGGGCGGGCAGTTGTGTCACTTTTAGTTCTGAGATAAGCTCAGGCCCTTCTCTGAGCTGTGAGAGAGGAGAACGAGGGCCTGCGCTCCGAGGTCAGCACTAAAATACAACCCTACCGTGGTTGCCGTGAATCGATTTTGAGGAAACGGCAAAAATTGGGGCCTGTCTCTTCAGTGTTTTGGCAACCAGCAACCTGGGCCACGCCAATGCCACAAGGCAACATCGCCTCTGTGGTAATCTCAGCCCTCAAATCTGTAACCCAGCCTGGGAGCAGGGCAGGGATGGTGCAGCTCAGCGCTGCCCCCGGGACCGCAGCGTAACAAGGCGGCGGGGATTCCACTCGACACAACCAGGGGGTTTCCACACTGATGGGTGACCAGAAAGGGGCCTGGGATGTCCTGGCTCCAGTGAAGATCGGCACTTGGGCACCAAGAGGGCTGGGAAGGTGACTGCTCTCTTCCCAGCTGGCATCGCCGAGCGGGCACTCGCTGAGCGAGCGGCTCGTTACCTGGCTTTCTTGAGAGGCCACTCTGGTGTCTGGGAGCGGGAGGATGCCGGGCTGGACAGCGGGGACACGCTCACACCACTTCTCTTCCGCAGCTGGAATGCAGAGAGAGACCAGCAGTAACTCAGTACAGGGGCTGGCAGGGAGCACAGCCTCCCACCCTCCTGCTTGCCTGCAGATTAAACCCCATCTCCCAGGGCTGGGGCTAACGAGCCCAGAGCCTCTCTTGCTTCAACACCGCTCAGCTTCCCCCCAGATGCCACGGGGCGCAACGTCTGGCCACCTCAAACTGAATTCTCTCTCGGAGCAAGCGCCCTCCAGGCTCGTGAGAGCCTGGCCAAGAGGACAGGGAGGGAGGACGCTGCTGGTCCGACCCCCTCGGTGCACGGGGCTGTGCTGGCAGGAGCAGGCGACCTCCCCGCCAGGAGCTCGGAGCGGACAGATTTTAGCCTCAAGGATTTGAGAC